GGGGCGGGGAAGCAGGGGAGTAGAGGCCACCTGGGAGGAGGTGGGAGAGGCACTCCCGGGGCTGTCCTGAGCCGTCCCAGTCCCCAACTCTCAGCGCGAGCTTGTGTCTCTGGTGTCGCAGGCTGGTGTCCATCCACGAGAGCGGCTGGAAGGCCTTGGACGTGACCGAGGCGGTGAACTTCTGGCAGCAGCTGCACCGGCCCCGGCAGCCGCTGCTTCTGCAGGTGTCGGTGCAGCGGGAGCACCTGGGTCCGCTGGCCTCCAGCGCCCACAGGCTGGTCCGCTTCACCTCCCAGGGGCCGTCGGGCGCCAGGCAGCGGGAGCCCCAGCTGGAGCTGCATACCCTGGACTTCAGGGACTACGGGTAGGCCCAGGGGCAGGACTCTAAGTAGACTGGGTGGTCCAGGAGCACCTTGGCTGGGATGCAGACAGCTTCAGGATGAAACTGAGTCCCTACTGCATGTTAGAGTTTCTAATGGTAGAAATGTTTACAATCCAAACATTTTATTGAAAAATAATTTCAGATATTTCCAATGGGTTTTTTTTCGCAAAGGGTTTTATGTTGCCACTAATACACATACATTATTGTAATCATGTTTTCACCCTACCCCTTTCCCTCATTAATTTTGAAAAATATTAGCATTAATGGGGTTACTAAGGTTAAACAGCTTTCCTTTGGCTGTTTCCTTTGGCTTAGTGAATTTTTTCTTTGTGGGACAAGTTAGCTTTTTGGAGTGGATGGGGCTGTGTAGTAGAGTGGTTAATAACCATTAACCATTAATGTTACTAACAGGCCTTTGGAATCAAACAGCCTGGGTTCCATTTAGGTCTGCCTTCTACTGGCTGCAGGACCTCTGGCGTGCCACTTAGCACCTTTAGGTCGCCATGTCCTCGTATGTAATAGGGATAATGCTGAAAGTGCTTCAAGGTACGTCTGAGGATGAAATGCAGATATCATCTAAGATAATAATTGTAAAGTACCTAGTTCAGTGCCTGACATATTAGGAGACCTTTAATAAACAGTAACTGATTTATGTTTTGGTTATATTTATTCATACACCACTTATCACAAGTATCAGTTTTAAAAAAAAAGCATGAGAGGTAGATAATAAATCTCCCTCCAGCTGCCCCACTGGGCCCCACCGGACCCCATCCTGGGCCCCCTGACCTCTGGCCTCCCAGCTGACCTCTGCCTTTGCCTCTCCTTGTCCCCACAGAGCTCAGGGAAATTGTGATCCTAAGGTGCCAATCACTGAGGGCACCCGCTGCTGCCGCCAGGAGATGTACATTGACCTGCAGGGATTGAAGTGGGCTGAGAACTGGGTCCTGGAGCCCCCAGGCTTCCTGGCCTATGAGTGTGTGGGCGCCTGCCAGCAGCCCCCAGAACCCCTGACCTTCAAGTGGCCATTTCTGGGACCACGACAGTGCATCGCCTCAGAGACGACCTCGCTGCCCATGATTGTCAGCATCGAGGAGGGAGGCAAGCGCAGGCCCCAGGTAGTCAGCCTGCCCAACATGAGGGTGCAGAAGTGCAGCTGTGCCTGGGACGGGGCACCCGTGCCAAGGAAGCTGGAGCCATAGGTGTCGGATATAGCCATGGTGGCCTCAGACTAAGACACGTGCACCAAGGCAGGTCTTGATATAGGTCTTAATTTTCTACTTAGTAAGTTAGCCCTGCCCCAGCTGAGTGTCTCTATTTTACCTTTCCTGCATGTTCTTCTGTTTCTTGTCCTCCTGCCCATCACCCACCCTAAGCACTTACATGAGTAACTAATACAACCCTGATTGCTGAGCTACGAGAAGGAAATCTCAGCCTCCTTGTTTAAAAGATGTAGCCGAGCATGGACAGATTGTCAGCTGGGAGCTTCTGTTCTCTGACAAATTCTCAGTTGAGTATGGGCTAACAAACTCTACAATGAGAACTGGGGAAATAAACTGATATATTCTATTACATGGTGAATTAAAACAAAACAAAACAAAACAAAATCCCTCTGTTTCCCTTAGGTAGGGAGGAGGTCTTAAAAAGAAGCCCCACTCACCAAAATGTTGACCCATTCTGGGCTTTTGTAAATATATTCAAGTGCCTGTTTCACTGAGAGAGTGCTGGGAAGGAGGATGAAGGGCTTCAGGCTTGGGGCAGTGGACAGGGAATCAGGGCACCTGGTTTCTGTATCTAATAGGACCATAAGCTGTGACCTCAAGCAAATGTAGAAGACTTTCGGCCACTATTTCCTCTTAAAAAGGAGAAATTGGGATTTGTCTCTAAGATTTCATTGCCCTGGGGATGAGACAGCCCTAACCTCACCCACTCCTCTGCTCCTCTGGAGACCGAGCATTGCCTGTGCATATTTCGGTTATTTCCCCCACCGTTTTAGAGAGCTTAACACTGGAACCCACATGTATTTACATATTTTAACTTAGCCAAAAAAAAGAAAAAAAACAATTGAATGTAGATAATCTGAAATAAAATAAAAGTAATCTCACTCTCTGTCTCTGTATTTAATTTCTAGTACCTTTCACACAGAAGAGAGAGAGCAATAAAAGGGAATGAGAGCAACATAATGATCTGAAGAAAAGAGGTGATCAAGGACCCTCAACCTCTAGGGGGCGCTGAAGATTGCAATGACAGTTAAGATTCTGCTTTTCATTTATAATATTTATACCTCCTCAGCTCTCATTCAAAAAATTGTATTGTGAACAATCACTTAGTATGCCACATCCTTAGAAGGCACTTTAACCCTTGCAATAGTGGTTCTGGGGACAGGGCAGGCAGCAACAATAGTGTGGTAATAAGCAAACATTTACTGAGCATTCAGTATGAACCTGGGAGCTATGCTAAACAACTTCGTAGATATCATATCATTTAATTCTTGCACCTATTCCTTGAGGTAGGTATTATTATTACTATTTTTTTCAGATGAAGAAATCAAGGCTGAGGCAATACAAATCTGTTGACTCTCTACCCTCAAAATGCCCCAGTAAGCGTGCTCTGCTGATGACACAGGCATTGGTTTACCTGTCATTTGGAAGCTGCCACATCTGGCAATTCTGCTACACTTACTATTCCCGCTCAGTGGGGTTTCCTTGTATCTGACACTGAAGTTTATGGATTCTCTATTTTTACACACAAAGCTAGTTAATAGCAAATGAATAATGAAGGGAAAAAAGGAGCTAGCCTACGGAGAGCCAGGATTTGAGGACATGGCAAGAATATTGTAGGTAGAGAGAGAAGACTTGGCTGTGACTTGTAAATGTATGTATGTAAATGGCTTGTATAAGACATCAAAACGAAGACTTTCCACTTGGCATGCTGTGAGTTCCAGGGCATACAGTTGCCTTCTCTACAGGAAGGATATCAAAATCATCTTAAGAATTCTACCAGCTACTCAGTGATGTATCTGTGGCTCTAAAATCTCACTTGGAGGGCTCTAGGCTAAGGAAATAGTCACAGAGTTAGGCAAAGATTTTGTAGTATTAACAATAATTTAAAAACTTGATATAAGTTTTGTGAAGACAAGGACTTTCGTCTGTTTTGTTCATGGCTGGATCCCAAGAAACTGGCTCAATAAATACATATTGAATGAATTAATAGACTTAATGTTGCTCTTTGGGAGAATGGTTGAATTAGTATGGTACATCCATATAATGGGATGCTAAGTAGTCACTAAAATCTTGTTTTAAGTAAGTTTTCAGTGACGTTGGAAAATGCTTATTGTATATCTTGTATAGAAATTTCAAAACCATATGGGGGGGAGGATATAGCTTAGTGGTAGAGTGCATGCTTAGCATGCACAAGGTCTTGGACTCAACCCCCAGTACCTCCAATTAAAAAAAAAATAAACAAACCTAATTACCTCCTTCCCCCACCACCAAACCAAACGAAAACAAAACAAAAAAACTGTATGTATACCATCTATTTCCAACGACAGAAAAGACATATATGCATAGAAAATAATGTGCAAAGAAACTGTCTGCAAGAAATGATCCTTAGAAAGTATGATTATGGGTGGTTTTGACTTTCTCACTTTTACTTTTTTGTATTTCCCCAAGTTTTCTCGATATGCATGCATTACTTTCCTAATCGGAGAAAGTTATAGATATGTAACTTTGCTTAATAGTAAGTATATGGTCGTCACTTTTAAGGGTGCAGACACGCAAGAATCGGGGACTTGCCCAGGAATGTGATCAACTAGAGGAAAAATGCAGAAAGCGGCCCGCTGCTGTGGGTGGGGGTGTGGATTATATGGAAAGGACTGTAGAAAAATTGGTAGAGGCGGTGGGAAACTAACGGTCTCTCTCGCTCTTCTGAGCCCGCTAGGGACGCCACCTCCTTCCTCTGTACCGTTCTCTGTCACCTATTCCCCATAGTACTTACATTTACTAATGGTGAAGAAGTAAACATCACATTTGTGGTGCCTTTTAAAGCAAGTGGTGGAGGTCGGGGGGGTACTTTAGTCAGGTCCTACGGAGCCCATCATTTGCCAAAGGGCAACCGGTCCTACTTGCAGTCTAGTTACAGAGATTAATCCTATGAACGAGGCAAATTCAAGTGATTAACTGCGGTTGCCCTCGCCGACTCCACAATGGGGCCCCGGAGGGAGCGGGCGGAAGCTGGGGGCCTCCCAACTGGAAACCCAATAATCCTCGGGCGCACCGAGGAGCCCGGCTCGGAGGCCGCAGGTCTCCACGCTCCCGTCCGAACCCCCGCCAGGAGCATCACATTTACCCGCTCAAATCGGCAACTTGGAGAATTCCTTTTGCCCACGAGAGGCGGCTGATGACCAGCACCAGAAAAAATATTACCCAGACCTCGGCCAGAGATCAGCCCTGAGCCGTAGGTGGGTGCGAATGGCAACCTCCGCCCTGGAGTCGGGGCGGAGCTCCCTGGCCCGCAGGCCCAGGGCCGCACTCGAGGCACAGATCCCAGCTTCGCTCGCCGCGACCGACGTCCCGCCCGCCAATCCAGTGCGCGGGAGGCGGGCGCACTGCCCCGTCCCGGCCAAGGATTGGTCGCCGTAGCGGGGCGGGGCACGTTGGGCGTTGCGGCACAGTCGGTGAGCGATTGAGAACGGGTCGCGAGATCTGGCCCGGAAGCTGTCGGAAACTGCCGGAATCCGGCTCTGCGGCGCGGTGGCTGCTGGGCCGACCGTTCTCCGCTTTTCTCTTAGGGCACGTCTGAAGGGACTTCTCTGGCGGCCCGGCAGACACGGAGCCGGGGACCATGAGCGTGGGCTTTATCGGCGCCGGCCAGCTGGCCTGTGCCCTGGCGCGAGGCTTCACAGCCGCGGGTAAGCGTATGGAAGGCGGGAGGCGGATGCGCGGACGGTCTCCAGCCTCGCCTGCGAACCACTCTCAACACCATGGACGTGAATGAATGAAGAAAGGGGAATTTGCGCCTGCTGGGGGAGAAGAGGCTCCTCTTAAGCAGCAAGAGAATATTACGCTCGCGTAAGGGATTGAAGGGAAGGGAGACATTAGCAACAGTCTCCCCAACGGTCAGAGCGTCGTGGATTTTGATTCTACTTTCCCAGGGAAAACAGGGGAAACGGGTGGGCCGTGATCCCCAGTTGAAAAGCCCTGTCTTCTGCAGGCATCCTGTCGGCTCACAAGATAATAGCCAGCTCCCCAGAAATGGACCTGCCCACGGTGTCCGCGCTCAGGGTAGGTGGGGCAGCGGGGATGTGGAGAAGAGGGTGGAGGCTTAGGAAAAGGATGGCTGGATAAGCTGAGCCCCTGTATTGGTCCATGGCTGGCGCTGACGTCCCACCAGGAGCATCACAATCCTGCACCTTCCCTGGGGCAGCTCAGGGTGGCGGGGGCACCCTGGCAGACAGACTAGGGTTCATATCCAGACACTGGGCTGGTTAGGTTTGCTGAGGTTTTATGTGTGGAAAGCACCTGGCACACAGTAGGTACCCAATAAAATATTGGCTCTTCTTCATTAACTAAGTGACCTTAAGGTATTTGGCTACTCTGAGCATCAGTTTCCTTGTTTGTAAACGGAGACCACAGTAGGCACTTCGCTGAGCATAAACAAGTGTGTTCGGAAAGAACCTGGCAAATTAATTGTTGTTCTCTGTATGAAAAGCACATCCCCAGTTTTCACCCAAAACCTGGGCAATGTGGGAAAGGATGTCTAATGAGGCAGGTACCAGGCACTGTCTGTGTCTAGGATTGCTGATGTTACTGGCACTGGAGGGCCTGGCTTTTCGGTTGGGAGTCCTAGAGGGTGGGTGACCTCCAGCCCACCCCTGGACCACACAGAGACCATGCAGTCTGACGGACAAGTTCCTGGGGTTGGGATCGGGCCCTGCTTCTGGTCATTGGGCACTAGCATGTCACCTTTCCCTTGCTTGTGCCACTCTCCAGCCATGGAGCCTTCTCACCCAGCATAGGGATGCCTGGGGTGCCAGAGACGTGGTGTCAATGGGGGACAGCCATTTCCTGGTTGCCATGGAGAAGCTTGTCCATTCCTAGCACCTGTGCTCATTTGCCCAGTAGCAACATCGGAAAACTTTGTGCCATTGGGGTTGGGGCAGACCCTGAGGGGACAGGGCTAGGAATTCCAAGCTGCAGCTGGCAGAGTGGGCTTGGTAGGAGTTCAGCTGCTCCTTGGGGGTGCCCCGGCCTAGAGGGGCTGCCCCACACTGTGAGCCCGGCAGTCTCTTCCTGCAGAAGATGGGTGTAAACCTGACCCGAAGCAACAAGGAGACAGTGAGGCACAGCGATGTCTTGTTCCTGGCCGTGAAGCCACACATCATCCCCTTCATCCTGGATGAGATTGGGGCCGACGTCCAGGCCAGGCACATTGTGGTCTCCTGTGCAGCCGGTGTCACCATCAGCTCTGTGGAGAAGGTGCCCATCTCAGCCCTGGCGCCCCTCTGTGAGGGGAGGGGTGGGTGCTGGTGGGAGCGGTGCTCTGGCAACTCACTCGGTTCTCTGCCTTCCCCCAGAAGCTGATGGCGTTCCAGCCGGCCCCCAAGGTCATCCGCTGCATGACCAACACGCCTGTAGTGGTGCGGGAGGGCGCCACGGTGTACGCCACAGGCACCCATGCCCTGGTGGAGGACGGGCAGCTCCTGGAGCAGCTCATGAGCAGCGTGGGCTTCTGCACTGAGGTGGAGGAGGACCTGATAGACGCCGTCACGGGGCTTAGTGGCAGCGGGCCTGCCTATGTGAGGCCCTCACATACTTACTCAGCCTTCTGGGGACCCAGGGGCACAAGATGGATGGCAGGCAGGCTTGGGCTGGGGTGTCTTGAGCAAGGCTGGCTGGTGGAGGAGGTTGATCCTTGAAGCTAGTTTTAATCATCAGGAAAAGTAGACCCTAGGGCATGCCCCCAAGCGCCTGCTGCGGAGGGACTCAGCGAGTGTCTCCACAGGCATTCATGGCCCTGGACGCGTTGGCTGATGGTGGGGTGAAGATGGGCCTACCGCGGCGCCTGGCTGTCCGACTGGGTGCCCAGGCCTTACTGGTCAGTATCTTCCCCTGCGTGTTCTGGACCATGGTGTGGGGATGGCAGTTCTTAGGGATTGCTGAGCTGGGGCAGAGCTTGGTTGGAAAGCTGGAATGGGGGTTGGTGAGGGGCAGGGGTGTGGAGAAGCTCATCTCAAGGAGCACCAGCAGTTTCCTCCTCTAATACTCCCTTTTTGCCCTAGGGGGCTGCCAAGATGCTGCTGGACTCAGAGCAGCATCCAGGCCAGCTCAAGGACAACGTCTGCTCCCCTGGGGGGGGCCACCATCCACGCCCTGCACTTCCTAGAGAGTGGGGGCTTCCGCTCCCTGCTTATCGATGCAGTTGAGGCTTCTTGCATCCGAACACGGTGAGTCTCTCCTTCTCCACCCAGGCCCTCTACTCGCAGCCATCCCAGTCTGGGCTGCACACCGTCTTGGTGGAATCTGCCATCTTTGGTCCCTTTAGCAGTGCGGAGTCTGTGCTCTGTTAATAACCACGATTTATTAGACTTTGTTAGCTAAAGGTTTGCAGGCCTTACTTACTTCATTTAATTCTCACCACAGTTCTCATAGCTGGGATTAGCTTTGACTTACAGATGAGGAAGTTGAGGCTCAGAGATACAATTTTTCCAAGGTAAAACAGCTAGTAAGTGATGGAGACGGGATTTGACTTCAAGTCTTTGACCCTCAATCCTGTGGTTTTCCACACTGTCCCCATATGATCACAGGTACCACTTGAAGCTCTGTATCTATGTAGTAACCTATATTTACTTAAATAGCACTTCTGAGAAGCTAGGGGCAGTGTTTGGTTGGGAGTTCTAGTTGTGGGTGGTATCAAGTCAACAAGAGTAAGGGGTTATGTGAATGGGGAAGCCTCGTGAAGCTCTGGCTCCTCCTTCAACCCCTTGGGGCTTTGTCTGCAGAGAGCTGCAGTCCATGGCTGACCAAGAAAAGATCTCCCCAGCTGCCCTCAAGAAGACTCTCCTGGACAGAGTGAAGCTGGAATCCCCCACGGTGTCCACGCTGGCCCCCTCCAGCCCAGGGAAGCTCCTCACAAGAAGCCCGGCCCCAGGAGGCAAGAAGGACTAAGGCAGCCTCTGTCTGCCCTCTCTGACCAGAGCCCTCGACCGAGGCGGCTGTGCAGGGCAAGGGCAGGCTCAGTCTTCAGATCCTTGTGAAAAAACCTCCTTAGATCTGTTCCGACCACGCAGCTCTAGTTCCCCCTTCCATCTCATGTTGGAAGATGCTCTGAAGGGGTAGCTGATGCTGGAAACCAGATGCAACCTTGCACATCTCATATGGTTGGAAGAGAGAGCGTCTGGGACCCCAGTCAGAGCCCCAGCTTGGTAGGAAGGTCTGGAGACCTTCAGCTGATGACCCCTTCCATTGGGGTCTTCCAGCCGGAGCCCAAGGCAGGGTCAGTTTGATGCTGAGTCAAGGAGATGAAAGGTACAAAACATGACAAGGGCTTTCTCTTTCCAGTTGATAAATGGAAAAGAAGTGAGTGACTTAGAATTATCACAATTAATCAGAAATGCACATATTAGACTGTTATATTCAACTCTTGCTTTATAGGTGTACCACTGGAAAAGTGTTATTCAATGCTACTGAGTTTAGCTGCTTTAATAAAATTTTATTTTTTATTACCCTGCTTTTCGTATGCCTAATTTTAGGTCATCATTCCAGAGAACTCAAGGCCTTTGCCAGGTGTTCCTGGCATCTGCAGGAGAGCACTGCCTAAAGGCAAGAAGTAGGGATGAAAAGAAAGAACGTGCCAGGCCCGGAGAGCTGTAATGATAACTCTGCTCCAGCCTGGCCCCCAGGGTCAGGGTCAGGGTCAGCAGATTGTGTTCTAGGATAGGTCCCGCTCATGGCAGAGAAGGGCCTAGTGGCCTGGGTCGGGGGTGGATGTTAAGTGAAAGAAGCCAACAGGAAAAGGCCACGGGTTGTATGAAATGTCTAGAAAATGCAGATCTGTAGAGAGTAGCTGCCTAGGGCTGGGGTGGGAATGGGATGAGCGTGGGGTTTCTTTTGGAGCAATGAAATTTAAAATAAGATTGGTGGGAGAGGAGGGTATAGCTCAAGTGGTAGAGCACATGCTTAACATGCATGAGGTCCTGGGTTCAATCCCCAGTACCTCCATTAAATAAATAAATAAATAAAATTAGCTACCACCGCAAAATAAAATAATAAAATAAGACTGTGGTTATGGTTGCACAGCTCTGTGTATTGATAATCATTGAATTAATATACTTCAAGTAGGTAAATTTTATATGTAAATTATACTTCATAAAGCTTTGAAAAAAAAATGAAACAAGTTACCCAAGTTTAATTAGCAAGGAAGTAGTGCCAGGATTCAAGTCCACCAAATTTGTCCTTCCTGATACCAAATTCTGTCCTTTCTGCACTAAGCCTGCTGGCAAGCTGTCCTAGGTGACAGGAGACACCCTGCGGCCATGCCATCCCCTTCCCGGGCCTAAGTCCACCAACCTACATTTACTGAGGACTTACTCTCCTCCAGGCCCTGGCTCCTGCCTTGGTGTGTGGGGTCCACCTGGCTCAGGTGAGTCCTCACCTGCTAAGGAACCCTGCACTTTGCTGTCGGGGCTAGATTTCACCAAAGGTAGCTGCGGCCCCAGCCCACCTGGGAGCGGAAGCAGAGGGCCATCCCTTGGAAAGCAGTTCTGGGCACCCTCCTGCGGGGCCACAGGCCTGCCCTCCACTGCCTGCTTTCTCCCAGGGCTGCCTGGTGCTAAGGCTGGAGCTGTAGTCAGAGCCAGGGGCTGACAACTCCCAGTGGAGACGCTGGACGGAGGTTCTAGAGGCTGTGGCCTGAGCCACCAGGAAAGTACCTGAATGCGGCCTGCAAGCCTTTTAGGAGGAAGAGCAGGTATCAGAAGTTAGCACAGCCTTTTCATTATGTGCTGACCGCTCCCTCTGTGCCCAGTGCCCTGCGAGGCCTGGTGTGCCCTAGTCAGTCAGACTCTGTCCACAAGGGCTGGGCACAGATGTGGACCCAGAGAAGAGAAGTGGAAAACACGAGAAGGCAAAGGAAAAGGCAGCACGGAAGAGTGAGCAAGGCTGCCAATCACCCCCCTGCCCCCCTCCCCCCAGCTCCCTCCCACCTTCCCTGTCTGGACTCTGTGGGCAGCACCCCCGTTTCATAACTGACTTCTCTCAGGAGCCCCCAAACACTTCCTTATCTGTTGCCCTAGTTTTCCCTCCTGTGAAACAAGGGCACAAACCTCTGGCCCAAATGTTATCAATAGTTACTTTGGGGAAGTGGGCTTGAGGTTGACTTCTCACTTGATTTCGCCCTGTTTATTTTACCTTAGATTGTTGATTGCAGTAAGCAGGCATGGTGTCCATAGTTAAAGATTAAAAGGTGTTTCTACTGCTCCCCACTGGCAGGCCCTGTGGGAAATAAACACATCCTCCTTCATCCTTGTCCCCAGGTGACTGTTACTAAGCAACACTCTGGAGAGGGACACTAGAGAGCTGACTGCGCTTCCCTCACCGTTCAGGGTGGTGTAGACAAGACTTTCTGAGTAACTAATGGAATACTTAGACTTAACTGGTGCTTTAATTTTACCAATAAACCTAGGCAGAATGGATATCATGACTATGTGAAATCAATAGTGTTTTGAAAACGAAATGCACCTCTTTTCAAGGTCCAGGCGAGTGTGGATAGTATATAAGAAAAGGGGGAAATATGAAATTGGATGAAGAAACTAGGATACATGACACCAGGAAAAGGGGTACTGGTGGGGGTAGAGGGAATGAAGCAGATGGGGGTGGGGCAGGAGTAAGATGTCTCATTATAAACCTTTTGTACTGTACTGATTTATGAATCATATAAAGGTGTTACCTAGTCACCAAATATGTCTCGTAAACCTTTAGGGAGCTGCCAGGCTGTCCTGGCCATGCAGTGCTCCGGCAGGACACATCACCCCAAGGTGGACAGTCAGGGCTGGAGCGCCCTGTCACTCTGGAACACTCGGCTTGAGTGTTTTCCTCGGCAAAGGTGGGTCCTCTGGGCCCCAGTCTCTTCCCACTAAGCCCACCATCTGAGTTACTAGCCCATGGGGTGGGCTGGAGCCTGGCTCCTGTGGAACCTGTGTCGTCTCCTCAATGACACTTACCACGTCGTGTGATAATCATCTGCTTACCTGTCTGTCTCCCCCACCGTCCTAGTGCTGGACACCCAATAAACTCAGCTGAATGAATGCATGCAGGCATGGATGGATGAATGAATGAATGAATGACAACTCTTCTGCTCAAGTGTCAGTTTGGGCTGTTTCTTGCTGTGCCTTGGGAGGCCTCTGATTTACTCGGGATGAAAGCCCCGCGCAGTTCCTAGCCTGTCTTTGGACCTGGTTATCCACTGTTTGTTGGGTTCCAACTTTCTTTCATTCAGTCAGCAAGTGTTTACTGAGAACTTTTGAGGTGCTGAGCTCGTGCTTGATTGGCTGGGATGTGGGAAACACTTTGTGAATTCCTGGCCACACTGTCCAGGGGCACTTCTGTTAGTGCAACCTGTCCCTCCCGCAGGGCTGCCTGAGAGCTTCTTCAGTCTGTGGACACCTCAAAGGCATCTGCCTTTTCATATAGCTTTGGCTTCTTTAGGTAAGAGGGAAGCACCTCAGCGATGTTTAGGTAAAAAGGGGTTGGGATGGAAATCAATTTCATAACATTTTTCCATTTTAGGAGGGGTTATATGAATAAATGTTCTCTCCTCCTTGAAAATAAAAACAAAATGCACTCGGGCTGGAGCAGTAACATGAGACTGGGTTAGACGTTAGACTTTTCCTGTCCATCGAGGTACTTCAGTAGTAGGTGACCTGGAGAGGCTGAGACATGTCTGCACCTCTCAGTCACTGCTCCACCCTGAATTACAAGATGGAAATATTAAATTGGAATTTCATTTGTAGTATGTTCTCTGTTGTATCCCAGTAAAGATCCTTTTCCTTCTGCCAGCTTGGTTAATAAGTTTCTGGTAACAGAAAGAACAAAGGCCTGGGTTCTCATCTTCAATGGTCAGATGACTTTAGGCAAGTCATTCATCTGTTTTGGTTTCAATTTGTTATTATTTCGTTAAAGTGGAAAAATAACAGTCATTGCTGGTGCTTCTCCCACAGTCGTGGCTCCTTTGGGTCAAGCCTTAGTGAAGTATGACTCACAGCGCCACCTGGTGGCACCTCGGCGGATGACACCATTGCCTTGACCCAGTGGTGCCTCTGCTTCCCTTCCCAAGGCTCTACCCGCCCCTATCTGCAACCCCACGCTGCAGAGTTTCCTCTTTTCTGAGATGAGAAGCCCAACTGACATTCCTTGACAACCAGCTTCTCATTTACACCCTAAAACAGAAACTTCCCTGATAAACTATCCATGTTTTCTTCCTAAGTGTCAGGCACAGTGTTTCTTGTGCAAAATACATAATCTCTAATCTTGAGTTGAATAATTATGATGTAGTTATTACCTCCCCATTTTACTGATGGAAACGCTGAGGTTTGGTGATATGAGGAACACAGCCAGGGAAGGGAAAGGCCTGGGTGCTAAAAAATGAGACCCTTTTTGGGAAGCACTGAAGTGCCCTGCCTCAGGTGGGCACAGCTGCCCTCCCTGCTCTCACCGAGGGGCCTTCCTCCCAGAACACAGGGAGCAACCAGAAAACTAGGCTCGGGGAGGGGGAGGGGATGCAGGCATGGGATAATGTGCAGGGTCCCTGGTAGGTGCCTGGGAAGGGAAACTGGAACACAGGTGGGATCAGCAGGGCCTCATTACAGCCTTCAGTGGGGGGTGGGGACCCTGTTTTGTGGGTCCCAAGCCACTGGGAAACCTACTCAGAGAAGTAGACATCTTAATTTTTTCGTTTTAGTGTAAAAACAAATACAATTCATTCCTATCTGCCTTTTGAATTAAGAGAAAGTAACGAGAAATTAGCACGTATTGACTTCCTTTTACAATGCCAACGCCCACATCTCCCCAAAAAGGCTCCCTTCGCCCTAAACACATGTGTCTGTCTCTACTGAACCCCTGCCCTCCACGGTCTTGCTCACACCATCCCTGCTACTGGGGATGTCTCCGCTGTCCTCCGCCCTTTGGCCCAGTTCCTTCTCTTACTCCCAGCCCTTCACTGGTCCTTAGCATCCTGGGCCTTACCCTGTTAGTTATTCCTGTGGACACAGTACTTTGCTCATTGGTGGTGCTGTGAGCTGGCAAGGTGCTGTCACCCATCACATCCAATGGGATTCTCAGAAGATCTTGGGAGGCAGGTGGGGGGTGTGGGCACCCCATCTCATATGGGAAGCGCTAAGGCAACTGGGGGAGCTGGGTCTAGACACCAGTTTTTGGATTCCTGATCCTCTTTCCAATTTCCCCCACTCATTTCCCAGTCAGGCTCTCAGGGATAGTAGGTGGCTTTACATCAGTAGGCCCTGGAGGAAAGCTTGTCTTGGTTGCCCTGGCCCGATGGCCCAGCTGCAGAGGAAACGCTCCCCTGCGCCACTAGAGGGAGACAGGCGCTAGCCACTGAGCACCCAGGCCGCCTGATTACTGCTGAAAAACCCGGATGGGCTGTCCGCTGGGGAGAAACCCACACAGACACGCAGACCTAGCTCCGTGCCCTGCGGGCCAGCTGCGGCCGGT